TTGGATTTTTCAGATCCTGTCTGGAGGCAGGAAAGCTCTTGCACGGAGGGAGTCTACTTCCATGCCTATGAACTTAGCCGTCTGCTTTGGGGTCAAGTGCGACTTTTCGAGGTTGATCTTGAGACCGAGACTATGAAGCGTATGGAGCGTTGTGTCTCATGCTCTTATGGCGTTGTGGTATGATGTCGCCACTATCAACCAGTCGTCGATGTAGGGATAAATATTTACTCCCTGTAGCCGGAGGGAGGCAGCTACCAGCGCCATGCACTTGGTGAAAGTCCAGGGGGCGGTGGAAATCCGGAATGGGAGGGCACAGAATTGGAAGGCAGTGCCATTGAAATGAAACTGGAGGAATTTTTGATGGCCCGGATGAATGGAGATGTGGAAATAGGCGTCCTGCAGGTCGATAATTTTGAACCAGTCTCCCTGCGAAAGCAAAGGGATAATAGAGTCCGGTGTAAGCATGCGGAATTTGTGGGGAGATATGAAACAGTTGACGTGAGTGAGATCAAGGATGGGGTGGAGGCCTCCATCTTTTTTAGGAACAGTAAAGTATTTTGAGTAGAAACCGTTGAGGAAGTCCGAAGTAGGGACTGGAAATATTGCGTGTTTCTGGAGAAATTTGGTAACCCCGTCCTGCAGAGCAGAAGAGTGGGGGGGGTATCGAATGAACCCCAGCGGAGGTAATTCAGAGAATTCTATGAGGTAGCCAGATGCTATGATGGCTAGAACCCATTTATCTGAGGTAATGGATTGCCAACGATGGAAAAATGGAGCCAGTCTGGTACAGTTCAGTGGGTAAAGAGGAATGTCAGAAAAGGGAGGCATAGGTAGTTGTCAATATTGCTTACCCTTTCGTTGTCCTTTACGAAAGGATTGACGTTGACGAGGTAGGTTTTGAGGCCAGTATGATGCCATCAGAGGTTGAGGGGCAGGTAAGGACCTGTCGGTTTGATGGGGACGATACTGTCTATAAGGTTGGAACTGTTGATTCTGGTATTGCTTGGGGTGAAACTGGCCCAAACGGTAGAAGGGCCAATGATAGGAGGTAGATGGCTGAGCAGAATAAGAGCGCACAGTTTTGCGCTTCTTATGAAAGTCCTCCATGGTATCATCAGTTGTGGAATTGAGCAGGCTGGCACCATCAAAGGGCAAGTCCTCGATTCTTGACTTGGTGTCATCAGAGATCGTAGAGGATTTAAGCCAGGCATGGTGTCGAATAGAGATAGAGGTAACCAAAGTTTTAGAAGTGGCCTCAGCGGAGTGTCGTGCCACAATCCTTTGATACTTGGCAAGAGAAATGGCTTGCAAATGGATGTTGATGAGATCAGATCTCAGGGGGTCAGGAGATGAGTCAATGAGAGGAAGGACTTCATTCCAAAGATGACGCTGAAAGGTGCCCAGAGTTGCCTTGTAACTGATACCCCTAAGCAAAAAGGCTTGCAGAGAGTAAATTTGTTTCGCCATTGTGTCAACTTTTCTGCCGTCTTTATTGGCAAGGGTAGGTTTGGACCTAGCCTGGGTTCGGGCCTGATTGGATTCGACGATAACAGAGTTAGGCACTGGATGCTTATTGAGGAATTCAGCATCGACACCGTGGGTCCTATAGAGGCCATGGGTGCGGCGAGAGATCTGCATAGTGGAAGGTTTTCCCCAAGTGTCCTTAATAAGTTGAAGGATAGACTTGTTAAAGGGGAGACTCAACGGAACGGGATGCTCCTGGTTGATGTCATCGAACACTGGGTCAGCATCCACGGCCGAGGCTGTTTGGTGTCGAGATTCAGGGCTTGTGCCATTTGGAAAATAAGCATAGAATATGAGGAGAAGTCATCCGAGGAGGACGAAGCATAGCTGCCCCTCGTATCTGGGACTAGAGGGGGAAGCTCGGGCTCATGGGAGGACTCAGAGTGTTGTGCCTCTGAAGATGCAGGGGAGCTTGGAGATGAAGGGTAGTCTGATGGACCGAAGCCCTCTGTCAGGGGAGCTTGGTGCCGTTGAGTTAGGCATGCCTTCAAAAGGGCCTCGAGATGTTATCAGGTCCGGCATCGATGGTGCGGGACGTAGGGGTAAGGGTTCATGAACTCTGTCTCACATTCGAGTTAGAGGAATTGGCTTAGATGGGGCAGGAGGGCATACAGACCTGAAACCGTTGGGGCCAAAGTGGTTGCGCGGAAGCGATTCGAGTCCACAAAGGGGACGGCATGGGGGAGTTCCAGCGTTGTTCGGGGCCGTTTAGCCTACTCAGGCTGGTACCTTTCATATAGGGTTTGCCAGATGAAGGGGTCAAAATGGTATGTTACCATTGGAAAGGGGCACAAATCGCCTTGCGATGGCACGGACCTTGGTGGGGAGAGGTGCTTTCGTTTCTCCTTTCTCTTCCGTGGAGGTGAAGGGGGAACCTCCAGATCAGATGCTGAGCTTTCAGCTGCCCGCCCTGAGTCAGGATCTGAATGGGCTGAGGCCGGGCTGGACTGTGGCACAGCCACGTTGAGGCCAATGCTCAGAGTTTGGAGCGGCATCATGGGGGGGGCACGACATCATGGGCTTCATCTCCATCCGAGGCCAAGTCAGGGGCTTCTCTGGATGATTCCCCGAGGATGGGGGAAGGCAGAGAAGGCTGAGGGGGCTCCACTCAGGGAAGTCTGTCCTTTCTAGGCCTCTTAGGGGCAGGTTTGGGTTTTTATTTCGAGCTTGGATCATGCGCTCGAGACTTCTGAGAGGAGGGCAACTTGTGCTTACCAGACGATCTTGCTTTCTCAGAAGTGTCCTTAGCTGGTAGCACAGAGGTAGAGTCAGAAGTAGACTGGCCCGCTGGAAGTCTATTGGCTGAAAGGGCAGGAGATCTAGCCGCTTCTGAAGACGCAGTAGGAGGATTCATGGCTGTTTGCCAAAGGTAAGACCTAAGTCTTTGGAGCCTCTGTTTAAGTGCCGGCTTGGTTAAGTTCTTACAAGCAGGGCACAAATGGGTCAGATGTTCCTCGCCCAAACAAAAAAAGCACTGGCTATGACCGTCAGAAAGTGTGGTTTTATTTGCACAGGTCATACAACATTTAAAAGGAGACGGCGAGGCCATAAGCAAAGGACGGGGGGGGGAGGGAATAAAAAGACCGCGGGAAGCCGATTAGGCAAACAAAAGACGCGGAGGATCACTAAGTAGTAAGATAAACAAACAAAAGCTCAAAAGAGCCTAGAAAAATAGCCAAAAGGCAAATAGCGAAGCGCTCAATCTTTTCTGAGAACCATTCAGCTCAGCGGAAAAAAGGAACTGGGGAAGATGGTGGGTGGGAGGAGCATATACCTCATTGAGGATCACACCATAAAATTGTTACTTTTAGCTCTAGAACCTTCTGAGAGAGTCAGCGCAGGCGCAGACAATACCCATATGTGTGCATTCACAGAGGCCATGAAAAAGAACAAACAGTTTCATTAATAGTCTATAAAGTTTACCTTCATGTGATAGCTTCTAAACTCATTTTTAATGAGTTTTTCCATAAACCCAAAATCTCTACCGTGTTCCCCTCAATTGGAGTTACATATTATAGTAGCTGAGAAAAATGAGATGTGGTAACTATACTATTACATTTGTTTGCAAGAAATGTTTTCTGCTCAAGAGCTACAGCTGATATGAGTACAGAGTGTATTAACAAAAGATAAACTTGAATCGTGAAATGTATGCTGACAAAAGGCCATTTGAAATGGCTGTATGAGGTAAACACTAAACATCTTTTTCTGGGACCAAAACGTCCTCTACCAACAGAATAAGGACACAGAAATCATAGCAGATGCTCTGGAGGAGCTTTACATGAAAAAAAAATCAAAATTGTCTTCAAGGGAAAAACATAATTTAAATTAACTAACCAATTAATATGAATCCAAGAGCAATCATGAATGTCAAAAGATATCCTCGCAGAGGTTCATTATTCTTCCCATAGCCTTTAGCAAACATCAGAAAACCAGGGTAAATATTGTCTTTACATAAGGCCTAGGGAGAAGAAAAGATACAAACAATTAAACGATGGTCATATAAAAATGTAATCAATATAAAATCTCAGGAACACAAGAGCTAGCACACAGAGGCCATCTAAAAAGAATGGCATTAATGTTAAAACTTGAATGACTGCAGAGAGCAGCAGTTCAGTGTGGTCTTAAGCAACTGGTCTAAATAAAAATGATCTTCTGACAGTAATTATGAGGTCCAGTGACTTTGTAGAGTTCCAGATGACAACAATTAGTGTAAATAATTTGAAAAACATTATTTTTAAGACAGCATATATTTCAAAAATTGTTTCTAATTACCACAATTAACAAGGGCTTGGTAAGAGGGAGATCAGTAAGAGCACCACATTTTTATCTCAGTTGACAGGGCTAAATCAAACAGACCTTCATAAACAATATAAAAGTTCAAGTTCTTAGAAAAGCTCTCCCCTCCCCCCAAAAAAACCTCTTTTCAAACTATGTTTAAGACTGATCAAACTTGCCAGCAACAACTCAAGTTTCTTACCTGGAAGATTTTAGGCGCACTGACGAGAGATGCTAATGCTGAAGAAAGAGTAGCAGAAAATATACCAGCTGATATCAGAGGTCCAAATCCTGACACCATACTCATTACCTGGAAACAGAATTTGAAGAAGGCATGAAATATTTAGAAATTAAATATTGTGTGCAAATTTCAATTAAGAGGTCTGGGAATTTTTACAACACTTCGGAAAAACTGTTCACTCACTAGAACCTGAGTTTACTCATTTTCTTGTTCCCTCCACCTATGTATCTTTCTGTCTTTGTGTATTGTGTCTACCAGGTAAAGGTTATAAATTTTAAATCTGTACAGTACCTACAAAACATTTGGTGTTTTACAAATAATACACAGACAACTATTTTGTGTCTTGATTTCTTGACATGGCAGCTCTATATTTCGTTAACACTTTTGCTGAATACAAACTTGCTTGCTTTGAAGAAATTCTTCTGCCACTTAAAGCCATTATGGTTATGAGAACGTTCAAAAAGGAAAAGTGACAAGATAATAAATGACTATAACAGCTTTTTAACTTCAATTATTCTAATGAGGTATTGGACGTAGGAAGAATTCTACAGAACCATACTGGTAGTTTATGTATAAAATGCAAATAATTTTTCTAGGACCTTCCGTGTGCACTCTTGCTTCAAATTCCTTTAAAAAAAGGTATGTGAAATTTTGTATTTTCAAGAAAGCAGTTATATACTGGAAGTGGTACTACTGTTCTGCCCTTAACACGCAATCTGACAAACAAACCTTTATTTTTGAAAATATTTTTGTCCAGGCTACTTGGGGTAAGCTCTATTTCATTATTAGGTGTCAGCAAACTTTGTCTGACAGCTCCTATTCATGAGTTTGTATTTGCTTTCTGCTTAAAGCACCTGCAATGCAATTGTTCTTACTGGAAATGTATATCGAAACAAGGTATATGTGCCTCTCAATACACCATTCCCACAGGTAAGTTGTTAGTACTGTAGTACAAGGGCCATAGAATGGGTTCCATCATGCTTGTTTATGTAACAAAATGTGCTGTACTGTCCATTGTCACACAATGTGTTCGAATGTTCTTAGAGCTTTGATAACTGCCAGCATTTCTAGTTGATTTACAGTATATGCTGCTTTTTCTCTCAAGGAGACCAAAGTGCATTTACCTACTTCCCCTGGCAGTAGACCCCCCCCAACATTAAACTGGCATCTGTTGTTATTGCTGCTGATGGCTGTGGAGACTTGAAGAGCATGCCCATTTCTAAGTTGTTCCTGTCTTGCCACCATGTCAGTTGAAGGGCCAGCTCCTTGGTTATTCAAAGCTTTTTGTATGCATTGTTGTTCACACTGTCATGAAGGGCTAGGAACCATGTCTGTGTGTATTCATCCTGTGCCTCGCATGTACTACAAATGTGGTTGTGGGTGCCATTAGACCAAACTGTATCTATGCAGAGTGTGTTGCAAGTGTAGGAATTTTGAAGCAAAAGAAATTATTTTGTTCCGTCTCCCTTGAGGAAAATAAGCTCTTCCTTTGTTTGAATCTAGAACGGCACCTATGTCATCTTGAATTATCTTTGTAGGGTGTAGGCCTGACTTTTAAAAAATGTATTTTCAGTACAAATCCAACAGCAGCTGTAAGGTGAAAGGGACATCATTTAGCAGATTTCCCTCCGGACTCACTACAATCAGCCAGTCAACTAAAGAAGGGAAATGTTTAAGGAAACCCTCTGAATTCATAAATTCAATGACCTGTAGCAAAGAGGAGGAAACAGCTGGCTGTGTAGCTTTTGAAAACATATTTCTCAGAAATACTGAGAATGGCAAGGAGGTGGAATATCCTCTGAGAAATGGCTGCTGGGTGTTCAGAAATGTGCAATGTGTGTGTGTGTGTGGGGGGAGATTGCTCGAACAGCTCTATTTAAGCTCCAGAATGTTCTGAGGAGTTTTGCATAAGCGCAGAAACAACCCATACATATAAAAGGAAAATCTGCATGTGGCATTTACACTCACACCACATTTGCCTTTGGTAAGGTTTTGCAACATTTTTTAATGTCTTAGAAGACTCTTGGGCCAGAAAGATCTGGATAAAATGCAGTAAAATGCCCCTCTCAGAACTACTGTATTTTCAAATCTTCAAAAAGCCTGTCTCAAACCAGAGTCATTATAAATACACAACCCAACAGCATAATAGTGGATATTTATTAATGTGAATGTACTTTTGTTCTCCATTCTTTTGTGCAGTCCCTGTACAGTGATACCTCGCAAGACAACCCCGCTAAACAATGAATCCGCATAACAATGACTTTTTGCGATCGCTATCGTTCGTTCGTTTAGTCGTTTAGTCATGTCCGACTCTTCGTGACCCCATGGACCAGAGCACGCCAGGCCCTCCTATCTTCCACTGACTCCCGGAGTTGTGTCAATTTCATTCTGGTAGCTTCGATGACACTGTCCAACCATCTCATCCTCTGTCGTCCCCTTCTCCTCTTGCCCTCACACTTTCCTAACATCAGGGTCTTTTCCAAGGAGTCTTCTCTTCTCATGAGATGGCCAAAGTACTGGAGCCTCAGCTTCAGGATCTGTCCTTCCAGTGAGCCCTCAGGGTTGATGTCCTTTAGAATTGATAGCGATTTGCAAAACAGTCATTCCAATGGGGGATTTTCTCTGGACATTGATTAGGTCCGTGCTTCGCGAACCATTTATTCGCAAGACGACGATTTTTACAGCTGATCGTCAGCTTCGCAAAATGGCTACCCTGTGTTTTACAGACCCATGCTTCGCAGGACAGCCAATTTTACAGCTGATCAGCATTCGCAAAATGGCTTCCCTATGGGCGATCTCCGCTGGATGACACGGTATTTTCCCCATTGGAACACATTAAACCGGGTTTCAATGCATTCCAATGGGGAAACAGATTTTGCATGACGACGATTTCGCTAAACAGCGATTTCAATGGGACGGATTATCGTTGTCATGCAGGGCACCACTGTATTTCACCCAAGGACTTCCTAGCCATCCAACAAAATCTCGTAAGAGGCACAGAGATGCAGAAATTGGTTCACTTCTGTTTCTGCTTGGAAAAGTTGTTAATACTATATTGAAGAGGAAGCACCTTTACTTTGGACGGGCACTTTCTGCAATCTCTGCTCACATAATGGTGAGCAAAGTGGAAGTACACCAGCAGGGTGTGGAAGTAAATTAGAAGTACACCAGCTTCACTGCTATTTAACAGGTTGTTGGCCTATGAACATGTTATGTGTAAAATGCATGTTCTTACAGAGAAGACTACAAAGATTCAAGTTGATAAAAATTTCCCATTTTAAACATTTGACCATTTGTGATTTTAACATACAAACACATTATGCGAATCTGTTTCCACAATTGCACAGAATAGTCCATAAACATATATTCTGCAAACCTTGAATGCCCAAAGTGTTTTTAGTAAAAACCCTACTGATGTTCTCAAGGACTAAATATCATTACCACGCACCTGAAAATTGTTCATCAGTCCATAGTGACAGTTTTCTAACCTATCACAGGAAGAGAAATCAAAGTTCAGCTTACAAGCTGCAGTAGTACAGTTTGTTAGCTCATGGACAATTGTATCATTGATGCTCCCAGTGGCATCCCGAACAACACAAGCACCTGGAGAAGAGGAACAAAAGCAAATATACACTAAGTAGTACAAAAAAACAACAACCTATTACCATTGACTTCAATATATTGTAATTAAGACTTCAATATGTAACCAAAACAGTTACATAAAACACTGTTTCTAATCTCTTCAAAAAAGAGACAGGCATACTTCAAACCACCTCTGCAGTGGTGCCTCGACTTATGAACCCCCCTACATATGAACATATTGACTTACGAACAGCTACGTTCGCAAAATTTTGCTTCAACTTGTGAACGGAGATATGATTTACGAACAAAATGCACAGGGAAAGCATGGACTTTGGAGTGCCTAGTACTGTAATTTTAAAATGTAAAAATTGTTTTAAAAGGTGCTTGGTTTGGTTTAAAGCTGCTTGGTTTTAAAGGTGCTTTGTTTGAAAAGTGTTCGTTCCCTCCCTCCTTTCCTGCCCTTTTCTAAAAGTCATCTTAGGTTAAAAAAAATTCTCCCCCTAGTGGTAGAGGATGGATTAACTGGTTTTGCATTAGTTCCTATGGGAACTAATGCTTCGACTTACAAACGGCACCTCTACATACAAACAAAAAACAGCCAGAATGGATTAATCGGTTTTCAGTGCATTCCTATGGGAAATGCTGATTCGACTTATGATCATCTTCTGGGACAGATTAAGTTCATAAGTCGAGGCACCACTGTACAGATTTTCACCCTATAGCAGTGAGAGATAAAAGCATCAATTATTTTTACGCTAGAAATAATTCTGATGGAATCCTACAGTTCTACTTGTGAGCCCCACATAACAGTACTAACACCCATGAATTACAGGTAAGATTTTTCCTTAAGTCCTCTTGCTGTATAAATTGAATACTACAAGGTAATAAAACGTCTTCATTCAGTTTACAGACCCTTGAAGAATTGGTGTAGACAGAGATATGATAGAAGTACTGTATGCCTGACAAGAAAATGAGTGCTAGAAGCATTCCTAATCCATAAGGAATATGACCATTTGAAAGTCAACTTCACCAACATGAGGTGTTAGCCTTTTGGATATTTTTCTTTTGTGACTCTTTGTTTGTTTGTTTGTTTGTTTGTTTTGAATGACCAAGAGTCATTTTAACAACTTCCCACGTGGTTCTAAATGCTGTTCTAAAAATAAAGAACTGCACAAGGCCCAGCACCAATGTTAACAAGCTCAATTATATTCCTTAAACAAAAAGTTTATTTTTTGTTTGAAGATAGACAGTATATATATATTTCACATAAGCCAAGCATGTCAAGCCACAAGAGTTAATCTTTATATTTTTATTTTATTTATTTTCTTAAACTTAATATACCACCCATCTAGAACGTGTCTACTCTGGTCGGTTTACACAAAATATAAAAAATAAACTGTGAAATTATAAATGTACTAACAATAAACCCCAAATTAACAGTAGAATCCATATGAAATATGAAGAGATTCATCTATACCACCTTTAAAGAAACTGTCATATGGTTTTTAATATTTGGTATTATACCATGTATTGTAGAAAAGTGCATTTGGAAAGGTTTTTTCAACCTAATTATTACATATGCTAAAATGTTACGTGTTTCTTTGCGGCTTAACTGTTAGATGTAGTTCCCTTCTGGATGTTATTTTTCCTTCAGGGTAGTAAGCTAAAAAAACAAATTGGACTTTTCCCGCTAAAACAGCTAACTAAACTTTTATTGCTTTGTAGTCTATGATCCCACTTCTCCAAAAGAAAGAAAGAAAGAAAGAAAGAAAGAAAGAAAGAAAGAAAGAAAGAAAGAAAGAAAGAAAGAAAGAGTGGCTTATTTAAACATGCTGATGACAGCAACAGAAGCACATCCAGTTTTTTGATATATTAATTTGCAAATCTTAAGCAATCCAAGCTGACCTCTGGCTTACAGCAACATATGCCCACAGTGCATAACTTTATTGAAACAAAGAGTTGGCCTTTTGAAGTCATAAATGGTTAAAAAAAAAACCAACCAGAAACAAAATAACCTTTGTTTCAAAAAGGAAAGTATAAAATTGACACCATACATCTTCATTACACACATCAGTTAGAGGCTCTCTCATGTAAATGCATCATAAAAGCCTGCAGCTGAACTTGTTATTGATCCACAAAATACTCCTAACAACAGTAAGAAATGCTGGTTCACTCACATAACTTGAAAAGAGAGGTCACCGACCGGCAACCATAGTTCTTCTAGTGGTCCTCTGTGGATTCACACAAGTGGGTTGTTCTGCGCTTGCGCAGGATGTTTCGGAAGTTTCTAGAGCTTAGGAAAGAGTTGGAGAGAGTTGGAGAGGGAGAACATTGACGATCCTGAGAAATAGGAACAAGAGGGGTTGGTGCTGGGAACTGATGGCTAGAGCTGGATCCAGTTAAAGAAACATTCAGGTGTGACATCGAAGTTGACGGCACTGTAGAAGAGTGTGGGCACTTGGATGGAACAGGCTTGTGCCGAGAGGGCTTGCGTTGAGATTGAGCTGGATCACAACACAGTATTTCAGAGCTAGACAGACGATGTTTAGCAGACTTCTTGGACACCAGTATTATTGGAGTGAGCTCATAATAAATTTGGTGTCAACTCCGAAGAGGAGGCAGCGACGGCAATGGAGAGAACTTGGATGAGGCATAAGCATATCAAACATTTTTGGGACGCTCATAACAGTCCTGAACGAACCTATGATCAAATTCATCAAAACAGTATTGGTGGCGATCATTGCGCCAATCAAAGTCATAAAGGGGATCTTCATGTTTAGGAAAGGCATGGCATCGAGATGGATGCGGAACAAGGATTACTTCCCAATACTGTGAGGATGGGGAGATGTGGGGCCGCTTTGCTGTCCTCTTCCATGGAGAGGATTGTGAAACTGATGCCTCTGAGTTCGAAAGAAGGATAACAGTCGCCCGCCCGGTCGAAACAGGGCTAGAATGGGCCGAGGCCAGGCTAGATATGACATCAGCCTCAGAATGGCCATGACTTGGAGACAAGCTTGGTATTGAGACTAAAGCTTGAGCCCAAGCAGGAACACCCGACTCTCCTGCTTCGGAAATGGAGTCTTGGTCCGGGATGTCCCTTGACAATTCCTCCAAGATGGGAGATGGCGGGGGAAACGTGGACAGGTGACAGTTCATGAGGCTGATGAGGCTTAGGAGCCCGCTTAGCTTTCTTTTGCTTGACTCCGTCCTTATCCTTGTGTTTTTTAACAGATTGAGTCTTCGTCAAAACCGAGGAAGACTTTGACATCGAGGCCGACATTGATAACGAGGGAGATTTAGGCTTGGAAACCTTGGTAGAGGTCCTCAGCTAGGGAGTAGTAGGAGCCAACAAGATGGAAGGCTCAGATTGAGGCACTGGAATGGGGTAGGTTCCATTGCAGGGCTGGTTGGAAGACTGGAGCCTGCCAAAGATTTTTCCCACCAGTGGGACCTAAGTAACTGAAGCCAGAGTTTAAGAGCCAGTTTCGTTAACTTTTTACATTCAGGACAAGAGTGAGTCTGGTGACTTTCACCCAGACAGAACAAACAACGATCGTGGCCATCAGTAAAAGCAATTTTATTGGCACAAGTCTTGCAACGCTTGAATGGGCCTGAGAAGGCCACAAAAAAAGGGCTTCCCACCAGTGGGACCTAAGTAACTGAAGCCAGAGTTTAAGAGCCAGTTTCGTTAACTTTTTACATTCAGGACAAGAGTGAGTCTGGTGACTTTCACCCAGACAGAACAAACAACGATCGTGGCCATCAGTAAAAGCAATTTTATTGGCACAAGTCTTGCAACGCTTGAATGGGCCTGAGGAGGCCACAAAAAAAGGGTGGGGGGGAAGCAAAAAGAAGAGATAACTCACAGGGAAACGTCTGTAAATAAAAAACTTGATTAAGTCCGTGATCCGAGAATCAAAAACCGTAAAGCAGTCTGAAGATCAGAAAACTGTAAGATTAGAATCACAAAATCGCTCTAGGAGTGGCAGCTAAAAGAAACTGAGGTATTACGGGCAGGCGGAGCATGGGTGCCACGGGGCAACGCCCTATTAATCATGTCTTTTGAAGTTCTAGAATATTCCAAGGAGTACTGTGCAGGCGCAGTAAAACCCATTTGTGTGCATTCACAGAGGCCATGAAGAAGAAAGTTAATTTCTTAAAGGACTGCTTGAATGCTGTATGATAGAACAAGCTTACCTCAATGTGCCAATGTTTTGTCCATGGAGTGGAGCTAATCTCTGGTCTGAATTTCCTTACTTTTGAAGCAAAGCTTCACTCAACTTTTTCCCCTGAACCAAACTTTTTCCCCCTCTGGGGATGTATCATAAAGCCTTTAAAAAACTGTATTTGTCATAAGCGGTATTATCAAGCAAGCTTTTACAAACACTGCAATTTTACTGCTTTAAACAATGTAAGATGACAGACAGGCATTACTGTTGAAAAAAGAAACTAAATTCTTAAGGGAAGAGTAGTTTTCTTAAGTCACTATATAAATGTATGACTGATGAAATAGACATGTCCATGAAAGCTCACATTAAAATATAATACTTCCTCTTTAAGTGCCATATGTTTTTGTTTTGTTTTGTTTCTTTGGATTTTGCCACATATAAACATTCAACTGCAACAAAGCACTTTGGATTCTCCCAACTTCTCCCAAACGGCTGGACATCTAACAAAACAACATTTGCTCACAAAATCTGGAGAATTGCCATTTAAGCTCCTATCATTAAGAGACAAGTCCTAAACGCTAAAGCGTTCTGCTAAAAATTTTGCCCCAGGAAACACATCAAGTTCAGAAACATGCCACCCAAACTTAGTCCAGCCCAAGGAGAGCAGACAACATCCTTTTCAGTCTATAATTGCCAGTCTACATTGTGAAACTACATAGAAGGCACAACAGAAGAAAGCAGCAGGATTGGGAAGTAGAACTTCAGCATCACTGAATAACTGCAGCAAAAAGGTTATTAAAAACAGAAAAAATGATGTCATCACCATTAGTTTCTATGATGCATGTAACAACTGTAACTATACTTGACGAGTGAGAGCCACCATATAACACAGACACGTTGAGATGCATACAGAATACTGGTTTGGATAGCAATATTGGTTAGGTTGTAATTTCAGGCAATCTTGTTGCAGTGTGCGCCATTGAAGCCAGCTGCATTTATTTCCAATTAACACTGGGCTGCCTGGTTAGCTTTGTATATTTATGATTAAAAGGCATGTCAGACAGACCGCTAATGCTACAACAAATGAAGAATGAAAATATCTTATTTAATGATTTTCAGAGACTGAATTAAGGGAATTTTCCTTAGCCTCTGCTGATCTGTAGATTAACTTTTTTTTAGCATTCTGGACTAAAAGGTCCTGGGAATTAGAGGATTCCAGCCATGTGACATGAGACAGCCACGAGACCAGTAAGAGGAAAGTAACTATCATGCTCATTCTTAAACTTGATTTGACTTATAAGATACTACTGCAAGGGAAACAAGACTAAACCTTGCTTCTTCTAAATAAAAAATTGGCAAATGCATTCAGTTTCTCTGTGGCTACAGCCTAGGATGCAGAATGTAAATAAAACCATATGCATACAAAAAGCAATCAAACGCAAGAGAACTTTAACAATTAAATTATTTTGTTCCAACATTCAGTACAATATACAGTGGTGCCCCACCTGACGACGATAATCCATTCCAGCAAAATCGCTGTACAGTGAAATCGTCGTCAAGTGAAAAAAAAACTCCATTGGAATGCATTGAAAACCGGTCAATGCGTTCCAATGGGGGAAATACCTCATTGGCGGGGAGCCATTTTGCGAACTACCAATCCGCTGTTTTCAATCATCATCAAGCGAAAAAATGGTTCCTGAAGCGGGGACCAAATCATCATTAAACGAAAATCGCCCATTGGAACCATCGTTTTGTGATCGCTATAACGATAGCAAAAAAGGCATTATAAAGTGATTTCGTCCTCAAGTGGGGTCATCGTCAAGCGGGGACCCCTGTACTGTATACAAAGACCATTTACTGAACATGTCAGTAACTCACTGGGACTTACTTCTACAGAAACATTCACAAAATCACACAAGGCTCCAATCAGGCTAATGTGATTCATGCAAGGCCTTTCACCAGCATCTGCTCTACCTATCACATTCCTTCTGGTAAGGGCCAGACAATGATGGCAAGAATAACATCAGATGTGCTTTGAACATGTTGAAAGAAATGCAGTACATTTTCTGAAAAGCAGCCTTCTACCCTAAGAAGTTGCCCAATCGTTCTAGTCTTCTTTGGAAGTCCTACAGCATGGTCCCTCACTGTCAAAGGTGCAGGAAGCTATCACAACAAATTGGTTCTTCACTGTAGTGATATTCAAGATTCTGTAACTCTCCCCATGGGACTTTTGTTTCACTATAATTAAAAAAAAATAATACTTTTACAAAACTACTGAACGTCATTCAACTGTTCATGCTCAAATTCCACTGCTATTCTTTTTTTCACTGTAGCTGTTCCACTATGCTGTTTTTAATGTTTTGTTTCTATTTTACTGTCAGCAGCCCTGTAGATCACTGTAGTACAGCGTGCACAACTTCAGCAGGGCCAACAGCCAATTTCAGACTGGCTAGCTTCTTGAACAGTGCACCTCCAAGAGGACATGGACAAAATGGAAAGGGAGGTGGCCCAAATCTGGTTTTTTGAGGGGTTTTTTAAAATATATTTATTTATCAAGTGTTAAAATACAGTAAATATTTTTCCAATTTAAAATATTTTTAAAAAGTTTAAGTTTATTCTGTGAAACTTCTTAAAAATAAAGGTCATTTTATGAAAATTCAATTTATTCTTTCTGGCTAATGCAACCAGTACTATATTCCTGATTACTGGGTGTAGATCTGAAAGTTGCACAGTGAAGGGAATCAACAGAAAAAACACTGATAATGTAGTGCTGAAAGGGTTTTATGGATGTCATGGGCCACCAGAATAAGAAACCCATGAGTGCTAAATCAAATCAAGCCTGAATTTTCCCTAGAAGCAAAAATGTCTAAACTGAGGTTATCATACTTTAAGCACATCATGAAAATACAGTAATGCTGGGAAAATTGGAATGCAGCAGGAAAAGAAAATGGCCAAAGATGAGGTGCATAGGGACAATAACGTAACCTACGGCCTCCAACTTGGAAGAGCTAAGCGGGGCTGTTAATGACAGGACCTTTTGGAAGTCATTAAATCAAAGGGTTATCATAACTTGGAAACACCAATAATTCGTTATGCAGAATTCAATCACATATTTCAATTCTGATTTAAATGCTTTAATAAACCAGCATCTGCACCATCAGAGAAACACAGATCTATGATTCTCTGTAATTAACTAAGTTCTCAACAAAATCTTCTACAATCAATAAACAAGGTTTACAGAACGGAGGTGCTATGGAAACACCCGGAAAAGGGGTGCCAAGAAGAGGTTTTATTCTTAAATTCACACTCACAAGATGATTTGCTTACTACCTCTTCAAAATCTTCATACAGATTTTGCAATCTGCCATGGAATGTTTGGAAGCAAGCCACATCTCTTTCTGACCATTTGTCTGGAGAGCTTGCAGACTGCACTTGCTGACACAGAAAGAACAGCTTATAAAGCACTTGAAAGGCATATGTACACAAACCTTGGAAAACAAACTGAAAAAATAATTCATAGCACAGCTCCACTGAAGAGTGACTCTGGATAATTGCTCTTTGCATTTCTTAGGAACGTATTATTGCAGTAAATATTTCTTAAGATAGTCAGGGACCCAGGCTGTTTTGAATCGACATGGGTTGCAAGCCAGTGTAATCCGTACAAAGCCAAACAGAAAATCAGAACTGGGACTTATGGGAGGAAAAACAGACAAACCTCCTTACTTTCCATTATGACTATGAAAAGCCCCCATCCAGATACATGAACAGTTGTATGTTAGTGCACCTGAGAAGGCTAGAAGAATACAGCACATGGCTGTCCTGCTTTTGGTTTTGTTTTCTATTGCTTGTGTATATGGCGACTTTGTTAAAGGGATGTCAAGAACTTTGGGTTGGAGCCAAGAGTGCCATCTGTTGAAAGAATGTGCTTGGATCCAGATGTTTTCCAGTTATGTCAGAGAGAAGAAAACACATTTTGTAGATTCCATCCTCTCTCCTTAATCTCCCACTCTGTCTTCCATTATGTTCCAGAGGGTGACAGTGGCAGGAAAACAAAACCAGAACCCCACTGGATGAATTGAACGCCACTCGTTTTGTTTAATGGATGGTAGTAAAACATCTATAGGGATGTGGTGGCGCTAAGGGCTAACCCGCAGAAGCCTGTGCTGCAGAGTCAGAAGACCAAGCAGTCGTAAGATCGAATCGCTTGTCCCAGCTCCCGCCAACCTAGCGGTTCGAAAGCATGCAAATGCAAGTAGATAAATAGGGACCACCTCGGTGGGAAGGTAACAGCGTTCCGTGTCTAAGTCACACTGGCCATGTGACCACGGAAGATTGTCTTCGGACAAAACGCTGGCTCTCTGGCTTGGAAATGGGGATGAGCACCACCCCCCAGAGTCGAACACGACTGGACAAAAATTGTCAAGGGGAACCTTTACCTTTACCTTAGTAAAACATCTAAGCATCATTGAGCATAAATTATTTTCTAATCAACTACAGAGAGCCCTAAGCAACATTTATAGGGTTAGTGTGCTAAGTAATTAGAGCACTGGACTAGGATTTAAGAGATGTGGTTCATATCCCCATTTGGCCATAAAATATATGCTTGAGCTCATTGGCAGTTTCGCTGGGATGGAAACCCAGCAAAGAAATATATTTGTTCAAAGCATGTGTCAGGCCGCCATAATTACTACTAAAACCTCCTCTAACCGAGATATATTTCTAAAATCATTGCCCCGCAAGTTAGGAGATGCTGGACAGAACACAAGAGCACTTCTAAAAACCTTACTAAATTGAAAATGACACTTGTTTCACACGCATTATGGTCTGTAACACTCAAGGAATATTTTTGTAGTTGCTTATTATTGCTACCATAAGAGCATTCAACAACCATCCACCTTTTGATCACATTTCACAAGAATATACACCATGCTCAGGTCAATGAAGAGAAGGTGCTATACAAACTATCTATAAAAGTCTAAAAATGTACAGTGCACTGTATTTTAACATAGCTACAACGCTATAGAAGTATGACATTAGATCACCACCATGAAAACTCATATATGAAAATTATTTACCTACTGATACTGCAATGCCTATGTAAACTATTGTAGTAATTAAGATGGCCAGAAGTGTCCCTTTAGGTATGGCTGATTGAGGATCCTGAAAAATAAATTTAACAGTGAATTTATGGATCAAAAGAATAGTTCACATTGGTCAAATGAGAAACAGATGAATTATAAACTACTCACCGCAAGATCACCTGAGATATTTGCTCCAGCTAGAATTCCTGTTGCAGCTGGGAAAAATATAGCAAATACAGAAAAAAAAGTTTCTTCCCCTCGGAAATCTGGTCCAAAATTCTCAGAAAATATTTCAGCTGTTAGAAAGCAACGTTTTGAAAAAAAGAGTATATTTTAGTATTCTGTGTTCACAGAATAACCTTAACATTCTGTTCAGAATTTTCAGTTACTTTTCAGTTATTTAGGAAGTAATTTTATTATTTAAAGATAAGCATGTCACAGCGATGTGTTTGTTCATTCTATCCATGTTTCCCCCAATACTATAAACAGCAAAGAGGTACTGTACAATGCAGCAAATAGACATTATATTAAATACAGTAAATCAATATAATTACTATCATAGGCTATTACAATATTATATGACACTAACCATTTTAGAGAATTCAAGTCACAGTCTCGTTTCACAAAAGAGAGTAATTCACAGTAATTCAGTTTTTACAAAACCAAGACGCATGTCAAAATTACCATGAAATGCAGAATGGAAGATTTCAACAAAATCTTTGGCCAGTAACAAAACAAAGCCAGTTGATATATAAGCTACAGAAGGAGTGAAAGACTCATGCTGTGACACTCTTGAGAAATACTCTCTTCTAATGATGCTTCAGTGTGGATAACAATCAGTGATTTAAAAAATTAAAATCAAGGTTTTAAATGTAAACTATAGTTAAAAAAATTTTATTTTAAAATATTTTTGTTTTTAAAAACCTCTACTTAATGATAGCTTTAATTTAAATTGTGTCATAAATCAAAGGACTCATAGAATAGGAATTATGAATTCTAAGCCTACGTTCTTAGTTTTAGAAAAAAAAATCACATGACTATATTATGTTTGTAAAAATGGCCCATCAGTTCTTGGACTGCAGCCTCTGTTTTCTGGGGTTCCATAGGCCTCTTTAGGTTATTTAGATTATTTAGGTTAATCTTTCTATCTCTCCTAATACCCAGTCTAGCAGATAATCATTTGAAACATATGCAGTTTTTAAATCAAGTCACTCTCCACAGATCTTTGATTTAATTTAATTGGTGTTGGTAGCTTATTGTGGGGTTCAGGAAGATTGCTTTTCCTATATTTACTGTTAACTATCCAAAATAGTGCTTGTTGGGTAGTACAGGAGTATGTTAGCTAAACAAACAAATAGTTAGGCAGGCATCCTTCAGTCTCGAAAGACTATGGTAATGTGCTCTGTATGGAGGGCTTGGAACAGCGCCTAGTGTGGCTGAGAAGGTCAATTCGAGAGTGACAGTCCCTTCCACACTGAAGACAAATCCAGTCTGTCCCCTGTCCGGCTCCCTGGTTTCGCTGCTTTTGTGACTTCCTCTTTGCCTCGGCCTGCTGGGCAAGGGTCTCTTCAAATTGGGAGAGGCCGTGATGCACCGCCTGCCTCCAGGCTGAACGCTCAGATGTCAGGGTTTCCCATCTGTTGAGGTCTATTCCTAAGGCCTTCAGATCTCGCTTGCAGATGTCCTTGTATCGCAGTTGTGGTCTCCCTCTGGGGCGCTTTCCCTGCACTAATTCTCCATAGAGGAGATCCTTTGGAATCCGACCATCAGCCATTCTCACGACGTGCCCGAGCCAACGTAGACGTCGCTGTTTCAGTAATGTGTTCATGCTGAAAATTCCAGCTCGTTCTAGGACTGCTCTGTTTGGAACTTTGTCCTGCCAGGTGATGCCAAAAATCCGTCGGAGGCAACGCATATGGAAGGTGTTCAGCTTCCTCTCCTGCCGTGCACAAAG